TTCAGCTTACATGCAGGGCAATTTTTTAAAAAAATGTGTTCCAGGGAAAATGTCTTTGGCATTGCAAACCGCCATTGAGCCCAGTGGGTCTTGACTATACTCGATTTTGGCTTTAGGCATGATCCTTGGAACATAATGTAAGTCACGGGCTTACTGTACTGGGTATGGTTCTGGTTGCCTCATCTCAAAAAGGAGCTGGAGAAGGTTCAGCAAATGGGTAATAATAACAGTCAAGGGGATGGTGCGACTCCCCTATGGGAAAAAGTTGCAGTGTTTGGGGCTTTTTCGTTTAGGTAAAAAGGGAGTTAAAGATGACATGATAGAAACTAATAAATATACATTCTTCCACCATGCTATGTATCTATACACATGTGTGCACACATGCACTACCGTGCTTGAAATAAACTATTTCAGTTTCATGAAGCTCATTGAATTAGTTCAAGAATCTCTGAACTACACTTGAAAGTAGTTTCTGCAAGTGCCAGGTGAACTGACTATGAATTAAGTTCATTTTCAGGTAAAACTTTTTTTTTTTTTTTTTAAATTACTTTATCTTCAGGTTTATTCTTTGACATGCCCCCCCCAACCCTTAAAGCCTAGATATCATAAATATTTGAGGAGGGGTTATAAATTAAACCATTCAGATTCCAGTATGTATATATATGTGTGTTTGTGTTTTGATGTTTACTTAAGTATACAGTGGTACCTCGGGTTACAGACGCTTCAGGTTACAGTCTCCGCTAACCCAGAAATAGTACCTCGGGTTAAGAACTTTGCTTCAGGATGAGAACAGAAATTGTGCGGCGGCAGCAGGAGGCCCCATTAGCTAAGGTGGTACCTCAGGTTAAGAACAGTTTCAGGTTAAGAACGGACCTCCAGAACCAATTAAGTTCTTAACCCGAGGTGCCACTGTATTTTGTAGTTTGGCAAAGCTTGTAACACTCTGAACGCTGTTTCTTTGGGTTTTTTTGAGGATCATTTAGATGAACTTGAATTGAGCTGTGAACTGAACTTGTTCACAAATTTTCTATGAAAAAGGGGGATGAATGTGAAATGGAATTAGTTTCTTTTAAGGCGTATTCATCTAGAACTAGTTTCTTTTGAAAATGAACTTTCCAAGCTCTCTCCCTCTGTGCATAGGGTGGTTTTATGTTTACAGAGAGTACACCCATTGAAATGAATGAACATGGTTAACTTAGGCGTATAGTTTTCTACTCTGCATAAAATTTAGTTGAATACCGCCCTTCATGTACCTTGAGATCTATACATGTGTGTTTATTAGAGGCTAAATCTAAAATTGTGTGCAATAATGCACATTAGACCACTTTGTACGCATTAAATAGCACATATCACTATGCTGTTAAAAAACCACTTTAAAATATTTCAGACCCTTTGATAAAATTGATATGAGTAAATATAATTTTATTAACGTCATTCTTTCAGTTAGAGGACTTCCATCTGGTCACCTTTGATATTGAGGGCTGTCCTCTGTAAAGTGCGTCATGATCTCCCTCTCTCCCCCCACCCCTATTCCTCGGGACCTTCTCATGATTTGACCCACTTTGAGCCGCCTTTTTATTCCTTGCAAACGTAGACCTTGAACATGTCAATGCAAACTGTGTGAAATTTGCCCAGGAGTACCCTTCCCCTTACAAATTCATTCCTGTTTGACTGAAGGCACTCCATACAGGCTGTCAGGTCGCTGCCCACCCCCCCTTTTAACAACCCTGTAGCTGAGTTCAGAATTTCTTCATCCCCGTGAAAGGAAAGCTGGGAGATGGATGGAAAACTTTTCACAGAAAACAGATGGTGAACAAGACACCGCAAGAAGAGGCCTGTATACTTTAAACAGCTCCAAGGAGATCTGTAAAATGCCTTGTGAAATATTGGGCTTCCTAGCGGCTTCTTTCCATCATGTGTGTGTGATTGGGTCTGCTGGATTCATAAGGTCCTCTCATGCTGTCAGATCGCACCTCATAAACAGGATCTCTCTCTCTCTCTCTCTCTCTCTCTCTCTCTCTCATGGTTTCATGTTTATCTTTTTTTCTTTAAACCCCCTTGTCTTTTGCTTTGGGCTGTTTGGCTGGCCAAGGTTTGCTTAAAGGTTCAAAAGAAACATCAGAATGTTCCTCAAGCATAGTTGAAACATGGGGCACATCCACATGATGCGTTTAAAGCAGCATGGTACCACTTTAAACAGTCATGGCTTTCCTCAAAGAATTCTGGGAGCTGTAGTTTGTTAAGGGTGCCAGCAGGTTTTAGGAGACCCCTGTTCCCCTCACAGAGCTAGAGTTTCCAGAGCGGTTAAGCAATCAATGAACACAAATGAAATATGCAGATTTAGCTACAGGTGTCTGATGTCAAACCGAGCACGCTATGGACTCCTCCTCCTCCTCTTTGACATCTTAAGTAGAATTCTGGCGGAGACTTTTCAACACTGTTTCATTACCTTGGGGATACAGGCGGCATGGCTTGAGCGTTGCCTTTTGTCTGGATAAGTGTCCATTGATGGAGATGCTTCTGAAGAGACTTGTGACTCGCAATTCAATTCAAGCAGGTTCCAAAGTTCAGGTGTGGCTCTTCTGATGCAGCCAAAGTAGTGGTGGGGTTCAGGTGTCGGTCAAGCTGAGATGTAAGCCAAGAGGAAAAAGAGACACTGGTTCTGTGAGCATTGGCACGATGGAGAACCGAGGAATCCGCCTGGCCCAGAGTCAAACCATTGTTCTGTCCAGTTCCGTGTTGCCCATGCTGACTGGTGATGTGTCTCCAGAATTTCGGACAGAGGTCTTCCCAGTGCGACCTGGAGATTCTGGAAATTGAACGTGGGACCTTTTACATGCATAGCAGATGCTCAGCCACTCAGCTACGGCCTTTCCTTGGGTGACAGCAAACAGACGTTTGTGATGTCACATTGTTTTCTAGGGGCCAAAATCGATGTGATGCTAAACGTGCCATTAGGAATGCATATACCCTTCAACATTTCTCCTATGAAAACAGGGACATCCATCATCATCATACCCCACCCATCGGACTGGTTTGCCACAGCCACTCTAGGTGGCTTGCAACATATATAAAAGCATAATAAAACATTAAACATACTTTCCAATGCAGGGCTGCCTTCAGATGTCTTCTAAAGGCTGTATAGTTACTTAACTCATTGGCTTGGGGGTTGCAATAACTCCATAGCCTTCAACATCTCTCAGCTGAAAATAGGGACATCCTAAGGAAAAGTGGGGCATTCCGAGATCAAATGAGAAACTGGGATGGCTTCTGTAAATCCGGGACTTCCCTAGAAAATAGGGGCACTTGGAGCGTCTGGTTTTGGATACTAAGTTGGCTGCATCAGGGCAAAGGTACAGTCTCTTTATATTGGTTAATGTTTATCCAAAGTCTCCGGGCTCCATTAGGTGACCTACCGTATTTATTTAGCATTCATTTGATTTGCTTGTGTGAAGCTCATGCGGAGGTTAGACTATGTCCAACTTTAATTGAACATCCATCCTTATTTGCTTGCAGAAAGCTTATGCAGACAGTGGGCTTTGTTGTTGTTTAGTCGTTTAGTCGTGTCCGACTCTTCGTGACCCCATGGACCAGAGCATGCCAGGCACTTCTGTCTTCCACTGCCTCCCGCATTTTGGTCAGGCTCATGTTTGTAGCTTTGAGAACACTGTCCAGCCATCTCGTCCTCTGGGTCCCCTTCTCCTTGTGCCCTCAATCTTTCCCAACATCAGGGTCTTTTCCAGGGAGTCTTCTCTTCTCATGAGGTGGCCAAAGTATTGGAGCCTCAGCTTCAGGATCTGTCTTTCCAGTGAGCACTCAGGGCTGATTTCCTTAAGAATGGATAGGTTTGATCTTCTTGCAGTCCATGGGACTCTCAAGAGTCTCCTCCAGCACCATAATTCAAAAGCATCAATTCTTCGGCGATCAGCCTTCTTGATGGTCCAGCTCTCACTTCCATACATCACTACTGGGAAAACCATAGCTTTAACTATACGGACCTTTGTTGGCAAGGTGATGTCTCTGCTTTTCAAGATGCTGTCTAGGTTTGCCATTGCCTTTCTCCCAAGGAGCAGGCGTCTTTTAATTTTGTGACTGCTGTCACCATCTGCAGTGATCATGGAGCCCAAAAAAGTAAAATCTCTCACTGCCTCCATTTCTTCCCCTTCTATTTGCCAGGAGGTGATGGGACCAGTGGCCATGATTTTTGTTTTTTTGATGTTGAACTTCAGACCTTATTTTGCGCTCTCCTCTTTCACCCTCATTAAAAGGTTCTTTAATTCCTCCTCACTTTCTGCCATCATAGTTGTGTCATCTGCATATCTGAGGTTGTTGATATTTCTTCCAGCGATCTTAATTCAGCAGGCTACAGCTGGCCTATATTGAGCATTGCTCTCATTTGTTTGTGGGCAGCATTCTTCCTAAATTCGTCCTGATTTGCTTGTGCGGTGCTTATACATCTTACCATTAATCGTTCATTCGCCCCATGCTTTCCCTGTTAACTCTCCCAACTGCAAAAAGTCAGTTTTTTAAAAAGTGGGTTTGTTGCACCAGGACGACAGAGTCCTTTAATTCACTTAATTCAGCAAACCTAAATTCCTGGTATGCGCTTGAATCTCTCCCACAAAATGCTGACAGCCTGGAGGTGACCTCAAATATAGGTCTTTTCCTGGAGATGCCAAAAGGTGAAACTGGCTCCTTTATTATGTATGGAAAGAACGAGTGCTACCACTTCACTGAGGTCCCTCCCTTATTCTTCCTGAGAACTGAAATTTTAATGCCTTTAATTTCCCATGGCAGAAACAAGAATAGCAGGAAATGTTGTCAGAGTGTAACTTGTTCTGTATTACCGGGGTCATAATTGATGGCACCGTGATAAAACCCAACAAAAGAAGTGTTTATGAATATTATCGTCAGTAATATAAAGAGTGGTGCAAAAGAGCTGCTTCCCCTGTGCACGCCCCAGATGTATTAACACAACTGCAAATACTTAAGCTGTTGTGGGAAGAGTCACGGCTCAGTGGTAAAGTATCTGCTTTGCATGCAGAAGGTTGCAGGTTCAAAACTTGGCACCTCTAGTTGGGGCTGGGAAAGCCCCACCGTCTGAAATCCTCGAAGGCTGCTGCCAGTCAGTGTAGACAATACTGAGCTGGACCAGTGGTCTGACTCAGTGCTAAAAGAACTGCCCAAGTCCTTTGTGAGTATGAAGGAAGCTTTGGAAAAAAGTCTAAGGCTCCATCTGCACTATACATTTAAAGCAATGTCACTTTAAGCAATCACGCCTTCCCCCAAATAATACAGGGAACTGTAGTTTGTGAAGGGTGCTAAGAGTTGTTAGAGGACTCCTATTGCCCCCACAGAGCTACAATTCCCAGAGTTCCCTGGAAAGAGGGATTGTTGGTTGAAGCACTGCATTATATTTGAGCTTTCACATTGTAGGGGAACCAGCCTCATATCACCAGCATGTTTGAGTCTAATTAATGCATGCAGGGGTTAATGCCATAGAGTAAGCTGCCCTGCCAGGTTTTGCCTATGTCACTTCCCCTCACCTTGGGAGGAAACGGGCAACCAAGCCTTTTGTTCTACTTAGACTATGTGTGTGAGGATGTCTGAGCTGCTCCCTCCAGCTGCATGGCTTTAAGCAGCCTCTTTTGTTTCAGACAAGAATAAAGTATGAAACTGATGTTTTCCTATACCAATAGTTTAGGAACTTTTACCATTTTATAACCAAGCAACATTTTACTGCCTGAGCAACTCTTTCTGACTGCTAAATGGAAAAGCACATGAACCTGACCTCTGAAGAATTTTGTGAGGATACCATTTTATGACTTTTTAAACGTGTGGTCTATTTTTGGGCTAGGGAAATGGGCTACACCGAGATTCACTGGAAAGGGCACATGTTAAAGTTTTTACAGCCTATATTCCCATGCCTTTTTTGCTGCATGTTTTGCCACATCAATCTAGCTGGGGCTCTCTCACCAAAGAACAATTGCCCTAAGTTTGGATCTTTGCATCTGGGATTTCCAACACACATGACACAAAAGCAGCTTCTGGAAATCTAGAGGAAGCTTAACATTCATTTCTGTGTCAGTTGCTTCAAGAAAAACAAACAAACTGTTTGCAACCCTGTGGATCCAGAAAATTGCACGATTTGAGGTGGTATACGAACATATACCTTGCCGACAAAGGTCCATATAGTTAAAGCTACGGTTTTCCCAGTAGTAATGTATGGAAGTGAGAGCTGGACCATAAAGAAGGCTGATTGCCAAAGAATTGATGCTTTTGAATTATGGTGCTGGAGGAGACTCGAGAGTCCCATGGTCTGCAAGAAGATCAAACCTATCCATTCTGAAGGAAATCAGCCCTGAGTGCTCACTGGAAGGACAGATCCTGAAGCTGAGGCTCCAATACTTTGGCCACCTCACGAGAGGAGAAGACTCCCTGGAAAAGACCCTGATGTTGGGAAAGATTGAGGGCACAAGGAGAAGGGGACGACAGAAGACGAGATGGTTGGTTCTCGAAGCTACCAGCATGAGTTTGACCAAATTGCGGGAGGCAGTGGAAGACAGGAGTGCCTGGCATGCTCTGGTCCATGGGGTCATGAAGAGTCGGACACAACTAAACGGCTAAAAAACAACAACAACCAACATATAGCTCTACCCTGCTGTTTTTATGGGGTAACAGAAGCATGTATGGAGGAGAATGACATTGTCCAATGACATCTGTTGTTTTGCCACATCATGCCCACTGGTGTGAAAGAAATTTAGCATGACATGCTAGTATATCTGTCCAAAAGTATTGTTCAATAATGCAGCAGGCACTGCAATAATGCAATAGGCACTGAAAGGAACATTAGAAAACAGGACAGGAATGGCAGCATTTTAACCAGGAAATCTAACACAACATTTCTCACATTCGGATGCAGCCAGTGTCTGGTCTTCACTGAGCTTTCTTTCTGATTTATTTCAGGGGAGGTTATACAACAAGGAGCATTCATCCTAACAGAGATTAAACAACGTCCATTCTTTGTTGAGTATTTGTTCAGTTTTCTTTGCAGAGAGGTTCAATGATGAGTGGAGTTTCTTGTATGGTGTTCAGACATATTCCCACTAATCTGCATGCCTCTCATACCTTTCAATGTGTTTTACCTTCACTTTCTGAACCATATTTGCTAGTTTTTAAAAGTGGATTTCTTGCTCTAGACTAGAGCAATGGAGCGCTTGAATTAATTGAAGAATCCTAAAGTTTCCCAGCGTGTGCTTGAACCGCTCCTAGAAAATACCCACGGTTTTGAGGCGCCCAATGTGTCCCTGGGAATATATTTACTCTCCTCCTTTTGTGGCTGGCGTTTTGTTTTGTTTCCCTAGATCCAAGAGATTCTGCAGGTGAATGCAGAATGCATTTTGAGCCCAGGCCCTTATCTGACACCAAGGTGCTCTCTTCTCAGTTTACTCCTTCTCTTTGCAGAAATTTATCTTCTCTCCGGACTGGCGGCGGGGGTGGGGGTCTTTCCCAAGCTCCTCTTTGGCGACTGAGTTGGCTCACAAAAATGCTTTGATCTCCTCTGTGCTGTTGATTTTTCCCTTAAATGCTCTTAAAAACCCCCAAAAAACTCTGTCACTATTTTGCTAGCAAGCTAAAAGGCTCTGAGAGCTATTTCTTGGATTTAGGCAAATCTGCATAGATGGAGGTGTAGGGTTTGATGAATCTGTCCATTTTGGTTTGATTGACCCCATTTCCACATCTGTTTGTGAATTGCTTTGTTTTTAAAAACACGTGAAAATTCATGCACATCTATGCATTTCAGACAGAATTTTGCCTAGTATATGCATTGCATGCCCCTCAATAATTTTCCCCAATTCTCACGATGGGCATCTGGTTGGCCACTATGAGAGCAAGATGCTGTTCATTGTACAGCAACCGCCTTCAACTCGCTGCAAGGAAATCCCCTATCCAGCTGGTCTGTCTTGTGTTATGTCTGGCCTCTCCCCATTAATTTTATGGCTCCTGTAAATTAACACCCACTTGAGATCGCAGGATCACACCTGCTAGTGTCACTGGGCCTCACAGGGATGTTTTCCTTCTTGCAAGAGCTAAAAGGGGTCGACTGTAAATGAAAAGGTACAGCTGAGCCTTTGCAGACAGACCTCTTTAGATATGACTCATGCAAAGGAGCAACCCAAGAAGAGACTAGCTGCTGGGTCAGACCAATGGCCCATCTTTCCCAAAATCCTGTTCTCACAGTGGCCAACCAGACTGCCCTGAGTGCAGCAGCAAATCCCCACCTGCAATTTCTGGCAACTAGTGTTCAACTGCCTCCGACAGGGGAGGTGGAACCTAGTGACTGTGGCTGGTAGTCTTTGACAGGCTTATCTTTCATGAATTTGTCCAGTCCTCTTTTAAAGCAGCCCAAGTTGGTGGTCATTACTGGTCCTTTGCAGGAGCAAATTCCGTAGTTTAACTAGGATCTTCCAGAACTCAGCTTCATTGGATGTCCCTAAATTTCAGCATTACAAGAGAGGGAGTAAAACTTCCCTCTGTCCACTTTCTCTGGACTATGCATGATTGCATAGGAATCGGCTTCAACCCAAAAATCGTTGTATAGGCTTCAACTCAAGACTCATTTATTCCAGAGGAATTTTATTAATCCTGTATAAATTCTCAGGAGTGAGCAAATAGTAGATTACGGCCAGATTACTTCTCCTATCCACTTGAATTTCTTACAAAAGTTCCTGAAATTTGCAGGAAAACAATTCTGCTAATCCTCCTCCTGCTAATTCCCATTGTTCAGATTTCCAGCCTCTGTGGGTGTTCCGAGTATGTTGTTTTACCCAGCTGAGGAACAACTCTTTATCTCTCTTGCAAAGAGGTGTTTTTCTTTCCCACTTTGAAATAAACGTTTGGGGTTAGTTGGCCAAAAACACCACTTTGAGCGTTACAAAAAGAGATTCTTTTGGAATTTTAGAGGTAAGAATACAGGAGAGGCAAATGACGGATTGCCCATTTAATCTTGAGGGCTGCAGATGTATCAGAAATGAGCAGAAGAACGTTTGAGGGAGTTGCAGGAATCAGTTTCTGTTGCCAAAGTTGACCCTTAATGAAGCTGAATTAGTCATTTCTATCAACTTCATTGAGTCTACTCTGAATAGGACTAGCATTGGATGCAACCAATGATTGTTGTTGTTGTTTAGTCGTTTAGTCGTGTCCGACTCTTCATGACCCCATGGACCAAAGCACGCCAGGCACGCCAGTGATTACTGGCCATGATCTCCTCTGGCAAAGTGGTTGGAAGCCATGTGAAGGGAATTCCACACACGTGCTGATATATTTCCCTAGGAGCAGATGAATATGTGATTTTTTTTTGTTCTCCACAGCGTCTTATTCACCCCCAAACTTAATTTGGCCCTCCCCAATATTTCAGGAATGAAAATAAATGAAAATTCACCAGTCTTTTAGGGAGCATTTCTTTTAATACAGTGGTACCTCGGGTTAAGAACTTAATTCGTTCTGGAGGTCCGTTCTTAACCTGAAACTGTTCTTAACCCGAAGCACCACTTTAGCTAACAGGGCCTCTCGCTGCCGCCAGTGTGCAATTTCTGTTCTCATCCTGGGGCAAAGTTCTTAACCCGAGGTACTATTTCTGGGTTAGCGGAGTCTGTAACCTGAAGCGTCTGTAACCCGAGGTACCACTGTACACACATTATTCGGTATGCAGTTTGGACTAATATGCACATTCTAACAGCTTGCTCTAACATAATGCATCTTCTGTATGTTGTTTTCACTAACGTATACATTTTTAAAATGTTGTGAGTCAGATGGAGAATGGAGTCAGCTTGTTTCTGTTACTCCAGAGGGGGGGGAGAAGAAGAGAAGAAGAAGAGAAGAAGAAGAGAAGAAGAAGAAGAAGAGAAGAAGAAGAAAAGAAGAAGAAGAAGAAGAAGAAGAAGAAGATTTTATTTATACCCCGCCCTTCTGGCTGGGTTTCCCCAGCCACTCTGTGCGGCTCCCAACAAACGATTAAAATACATTAAAACATCAGTCATTAAAAAGAGCTGAACCAATAGATTCAAACTACAAGAAAGCTGAATCCAACTAAACATTAGGAAGAACTTTCTGACAGTGGAACGGGCTGCTCCTAAAGGTGGTGGAGGTTTCTTGGGAGAGGTTGGGTGGCCATCTGTCAGGGATTTTGAGTTCTGATTCTTGCATTGTTGGAAGTTGGACCACGCTTGGGGTCCCTCCTAACCCCCTGTACTTCCATGAATCACCATCTCTGTTAACCATAGTACGTCTACTTTGAGTCGGGCTAGTATTGGCTGCAGCTTTATGTTTGTGGACAGAGTTCATCCACGCAGTGGGGAGATCCTTGGCTATTCTGCTGCCCTGCAGTTTTGTATGGAATTCAGAAACATCACACTGTTTCTGTTTCTCTTGACTTCCAAGTTGAGCAGAGCATTTCTCTGTCACAGTGGGATCTAGTCCAAAGACTTCTGCTCTGGACATCATCCACTGGAACAGACCCCTTGTCAGAGCGCCAGACAAGATCTGTGGCATTTTAATCGCCATCACGCTGTATGAGCTACACAGTCTTCGGAGCTAATCACTTCACCGTTTTTGGACTGTGGTTCTTAAATTGTCTTAACCTGGCATCAGACACCAATGGCGCTCTCTCGTATTACATGATCTATGCCCCTGCATTGTTGGAGACAGTGTGGAGTAACAGGCACATTTTTGCCTGTGGTGGGAATGTGGGAAAGTGCAAAAATTTGGAGCTCTTTTCAGAGATAGCATACAGTACCCATCAGAAGCTAATTGCAGAGCCAGCCCTGGCTCTATTGTCCACAGAAAGTGACTCTAATCCTGTAGTATCACGTAAGATTTTTGCATTCCAGCTATTAGCCTCTGCAAGATTAGCATCCCGTTAGAAATCTTGAGAGCTAATGCCCTAAGAGATGTGGCTTAGCAACGTATGGGATAAAGCTCTCTCGGATCATCTAATTTAACACTGCCATGTAATTCAAGGGGAAACTGAACTTGATTTATTTGATAAAACATTATATACCTTTAATGAGGGAGGCAGGTTTAGAGTGCTGGGGAAACACAGCCAGATGGGCGGGTTGTTGTTGTTGTTGTTGTTGTTGTTGTTGTTGTTGTTATTAAATAAGGCAGCCTTGAGAGATTAAGTCATATCCATGGTAGGCATATTTGAAAATATAGCATTGTACTTTGGGCTTTTTAAATGCAAAGCTAATTGAATATTTTATGTAATTCTGTTGTACCCCATTGTACCAAAGTGGTTCGCCAGAAGTGGCTTAGTCATGCTGGCCACATGACCCGGAAGCTGTACGGCGGCTCCCTTGGCCAATAAAGCGAGATGAGCGCCGCAACCCCAGAGTCAGTCACGACTGGACCTAATGGTCAGGGGTCCCTTTATCTTTACCTTTATGTAATTCTGTTGTACCCCATTGTACCAAAGTTGCTCGTGATTTTTGGCTTTTGCTACTGCTGAAGAGATCCTCCTCCTCCTCCTTCTTCCAACAATGAAAAAGGTCCTTCTAGTGCAGGGTTAGGCAACCTAAGGCCCGTGGGCCGGATGCGGCCCAATTGCCTTCTCAATCTAGCCCGCAGACAGTTCAAGAATCATCATGTTTTTACATGAGGAGAATGTGTGCTTTTATTTAAAATGCATCTCTGGGTTATTTGTGGGGCATAGGAATTTGTTCATTTCCCCCCTCCAAAATACAGTCCAGCCCACCACATGGTCTGAGGGACGGTGGACCAGCCCACGGCTGAAAAAGGTTGCTGACCCCTGTTCTAGCGGTATGACACAATATGGTAGGGTTGCCATATTTCGAAAAGTGCAAATCCGGACACAAAAGTTGTTGTGCTTTTCTGTTCTGCTGCATAGTATAGTGTGCTGGCTGCAGGAGGGAAGTGGCAAATTCGGAAGTGCGAGGTCCCTTCAGGATAGTCACAGCTACACTCCCTTCTAGGATTATGCAATTTCCTTATAATTACACAATAATAATAACTAGGGACACATTACAATGATCAATGCGGATATAATGCATTGCCTTTCAGCTAGATCTGTGGACATACATAGCAAATGATTTGGAGTGCTCTGAGACCTTCTTTTGCGGTGACTTAAGCTGTGTTGTCCCTGGAAGTTCCATTGCACATGGCGGAACGTGCACGCCATTTTTTTGAAACACTTAGCTGTGAGATGTACAAAAGAGCAACTCCTCAGTGCTCTTCCCACACTTTCTCCAGAGCAACCCAAGACCAGGTATCCTTGATGGCTTCCTGCTTGCCCAAATGGAGGCTATAGAGGTGTGTGAGACCATTTGTAAAAACTAGGTGAAATTTGCATTTCTCGATCTGCCCCACTTTTGCCTTTTTGCCCACTGCCAGCAGGCATTCCCTGGAAGTTCGTCCAGAAAGGATTTTTTGCTCTTGTGCTGTGAATGGCCCCCAATTCATATTCTAGAGTGTCAGTCAATGGTCTCATCGAATCATAGAGCTGAACGGGACCACAAGAGTCAACCCCCAGCAATGCAGGAATCTTTCACCCTCTGTGGGGCTCAAACCCACAACTCTGAGATTAAGAGTCTCATACTCTACTGACTTGAGTTATCCAGTGCATCCGTATCTCATATGGTCATCTGTCTTTTTTTTTTTTTTAAAGCTGTCTGCAACTACGGCGTGTGTTTCAATGGAGGCAAGTGTGCGGAAGGCTCCTCTCAGGTCTGCCACTGCCCTGCAGGCTTCCAGGGCCCCAGCTGCCAATATGGTGAGTAGCTGCTTCAAACTGACCCTTGCGCCCATGTCAGTCTTAAGGTGGAGCCACCTCTCCACCTGAGTCAGAGACCTGGCTTGGTACGCACAGCAGGCTGTTGGGAGTCAACTCCTAAGTGGATGATAACTGTTATGTATTGAAGTTCTCACCCTGGCCACCCGGGGTATTGTGTGTATAGTTTTCACTCAGGTCCACGTAAGTTAATTTAGGCGGGAAACCCTGGGGTGTTGTTACAATATTGACATGCGGAAAGCAGGCTGGCTGAGCTGTTCAGTTCAGTTCAGTTCCAGCTTACTATAAAGAACCACTTGGAGAAATCTCTGTGTCGACTGCTATGTCCACCCACAACTTAATACTGGTGACGAAGGTGGGATTTGAACCCACACGTGCAAAGCACAATGGACTAGCGTTTTGGACATTGAGGGACTGTCTGTCCAATTTTCCAGTGCCTGAAATAATTTAATATATAGTTGTGTTCATATATGCTTGTACAAATGGCAGTTGCTGGTGGCCAGTATAAACATATCTCTTACATATTTGTCTATCTCCAACCTGGCTTGTGCAACATGCCAAGCCGAACTATGGGATCATCTTGGTGCTGACCTGCTGATTTGGAATAATTCTTACTGCTGCTCTTGCTGTGCCGCCGTCTCTTTTTTACATCTCAGGTCTTCTAGCAAGGTCTCCCTCTTATGTTTGCACGTGTGTGTGATGTCTGAGCGCCGCCGCCTGCAATCCTGCATTTGGAAGCGAGACGCAGTCTCCTCTGCCTTTTCACCAGTTTCCATTGATTCATAACAGCTGGGGAGAGGGGCAGTTAGGTCATCATAGCAAGAGAGGTTCTCTCTGGGAAAGACCCCGCTAAGTGCTCCTTACATCCCATAATTTGGAGAGATCTTCCAGTTGGCACGATACATGTGTCTCTCCCTACCTCCAGCAACAAACTTCAGGGATCACACACACACACACACATGATGCACACACACACAAACCCACAGCTGGATCACACAATTTTCTTTTTAAGTAACCTGACCTTGGGCATGCTTGCTTGGGAACTCGGGGTCAATACATTCAACGGGGCACATTTCTGAGCAGGTATGTTTTATGGCTCAGACAGCATGTTACAAAGGAGGTGTGTGAATGCCTCTCTCTCTTTAACCCCCCCCCCCCGCCCCAGCCAAACAGCTGCACAGTGAGTTGAGGGGTTGCGGGAGAGACTGAGGAGAATCAGGATTGGGGGAAATGGTCTGGAAGGGGAGGGGGGGAGAGAGCTTAATTCCACTACATACCACATATCTGCTAACATTTCTCCGATGAAAATAGGGATGTCCTAAACAATCACCACCACAACAACAACAATGGCGATATGTTGGTGGCTTCCAACATATATAAAAACATAATACAGTGGTATCTTGGTTCTCAAACAACTTGGAATCCAAACACTGCAAACCTGCAAGTATGTGTTCCGGTTCGCGAACTTTTTTCGGAAGCCAAACATACTCAGTTTTGAGTGTTACACTTCCATTTTGAGTGTTACACTTCCGTTTTGAGTGTTACGCTGAGATCTGTCAGTTTTTGCTATTTATTTTTTGTTTTTGTGGCTCTTTTTTGTTGCTTTTGTGATTGTGTGGAACCCAGTTCAGCTACTGATTGCTTGCTTGTGTGACTGCAGTACATTGTTTATTGCTTTCATTTTATGGATCAATGGTCTTGTTAGATAGTAAAATTCATGATAAATTGCTGTTTTAGGGGTTGTTTTTAAAGGTCTGGAACAGATTAATCCATTTTGCATTACTTTCTATGGGAAAGCGTGCCTTGGTTTTGGAACGCTTTGGTTTTGGAACGGACTTCTGGAATGGATTAAGTATGAGAACCAAGTTACCACTGTAAAACATCCTACTGGGACAATGTCAGAGATTGAACCTGGAACATTCTGTGTGTGGAGGAACTGCTCTGCCACTAAGCTATCTCGCTTCCTCCGATGTTAAGTCTTGCGGGAGTATGCAGGGCTGCGATGGGCCTCAGGAACCTCCATTGCTGAGTGCACACATCCATTTCATGCTTTGGGGAGTCCTGATTACAGGAGAATCATGAACTCATCTGGTTAGGTGGGTTTTAGCTGCTGATTCAGCATGCTTTCTCCCTCCTTCCCCTTTCTTTCATGGTACATCTGTTTTCATGAACTGTAATTATCATTACAGGTGACAATATAGAAGCACTATCAAGGCATTTGATGTCTCTTTCAGATAATCTGTTGAAAGCAGATGCAATTCCCTACACACACACACACACACACACACACACACACACACACACACACACACTGTGTGCAAGAGAGAGCACAAATATCATGCTGTAGCAAGAGACCTTTTGTTATCTATGGGTGTGGTGTGTTCAGCAGGACTCATGATCCTCTCCTGCAAAATATATTCCCCCCTTCTCTCTGCATGCTCCATTCCAAAATGAAAGAATATCCCAATTTTCCTATCTTTTCCTATCTGCACGTTTTTGGAAGTAAATGCCAACTGCATAATCCTCTGCATCGCAACTCAAAAGGAAGTTCCATTTGCTTCAATGGGACTTGCTTTCTGGTCAGTGTGGATGGCAGCCTGCCCTAGTTGGGCCCCCTCGAGCTGTCAGTGGACTCCTAACTCTCTTTGAGTCCCAGGCCCAGAAGGGTTGGTGGTCAGGGCTGATGGGAGTTGTAGCCCAAAGCATCTTGGGGTGTGAGGCTGGGGAAAGTTGGTGTACTGGGTTGCCCACCAGGAGAGCTCTTTATAATGCACATTTTCTCAGAGATAAGTGCCATGCTGTTCTGTGAGATTTATTATTGACTAGTTACTACAACTGTGTATCCCACAAAAGGCAGCGATTGCCTCTGATTTGGATGGCTTCTAGTGAAGAATGCATAGAGGTTATCAATGACTCCCCTCTCCCCTAAAATAGATTATACTTTCTGCAATAAGGAACGTGAGGGGAAAACCCATTAGAAAGTGTAGGATAAGACATGCTTCACTCAACGTTGTACGATCTCCACATACAAAAACTTGGAACGAATGCAAATAAACAGCTGGCCTTCTATAGCCCTCCTTCAGACTTCATTCCAGTGAATGAGAACAAATGCAGGTTGTCATGTGTGCACATGCCAGATCAAGGCTTATATCCAGTGCTACTCAAGAGTAGACCCAATGAAGTTAATGGACCTAAGCTTGGGACTCATTAATTCCAGGGGGCCGTCTCTGAGTAGAATCTAGCTGGCGGTGACTCCAAATGGCTCCTTGGCTGCTGAGCTGATGAAGAAAGTCTGAGGAACATAAGAAGATCCAGCTGGATCTGATGCAGAAAGTCTGAGGAACATAAGAAGACCCAGCTGGATCTAGTCCAGCATCTCACAGGTGCCCCTTATGAGAAACCTCAAGCAAGACACAAGCACAAGAACATTCTCCTCTTTTGCCATTTCCACCAACTAGTATTCAGAAGCACTCTGACAACGGAGGCAGGGCATAGCCATCATTGTTAGTTTCCATCAAAAGCCCTCTCCATGGATTTGTCTAATCCTTTTTCAAAACCACCCAAGTTGGTGGTCATCACTGCCTCCTGTGGAAGTGAGTTCCGAAGTTTAACTATGCACTAGGAGGAGTTTGGATTTGATATCCCACTTTATCACTACCCTAAGGAGTCTCAAAGTGGCTAACATTCTCCTTTCCCTTCCTCCCCCACAACAAACACTCTGTGAGGTGAGTGGGGCTGAAAGACTTCAAAGAAGTGTGACTAGCCCAAGGTCACCCGGCAGCTGCATGTGGATGAGCGGGGAATCGAACCCGGTTCACCAGATTACGAGTCCACTGCTCTTAACCACTACACCACATTGGCTCTACATGAAGAAGGACTTTCTTTTATCTGTCCTGACTCTTTCAGCACTCAGCTTTGTTGGATGTCCACAGTTTCTAGTGTTATGAGGGTGGGGGTGAGGGAATTTTGTCCATCCACTATTTCCATACCATGCATAATACTATAAACTTAGGGACTCTCAGGGACCCCTTCCTGGGAGTAGCTTTCAAAGAAACTTGCTCACCTTTTCTCGAAACTCAAATGTTACGTACGAATGCTGCAACCCTTCCTCGTAGCAGAGTTCCTCCACCTCCTTGATCTTCCCCTAAGGAAGGACCCTTGGATTTCTAGAGCCAATGTGGTACAGTGGTTAATGTGTTGGACTAGGACCTGGGAGACCAGGGTTCAAATCCCCACAGCCATGAAGCTTACTGAGCCGCTCAGCCGGACCTACCTCACAGGGTTTTTGTGGGGACTAAATGAGGACAACCATGTGAGCACCTTGGAGAAAAAGATGGGATACAAATGCAAAAAATAAAATAAAAACAAATTTCCTACCATACAGGGGTACATGCAGGATTTATTTTCCTGTGTGCACACTTTGCCCTTAGGGCTGACGCCAAGATAGTCATTGCCTCCCCTCCTAAATTCTGGTATCGGATGGCGTGCAAAACAGCAGTTTCAGGCCGAGCCAAATAGCAATATGCTTTTCTGGCCCTGGCTCTTGTACGTCCCGTTAATGACCTGCCTAAAACTCACAGACAGAAATAATGGATTTCCCTTGCTATTAAAACGGGAGTTACATCGGTCCAGGTGTAGATGGTTTGTTCCAGACAATTTTACAGAAGGCTTTTTCTCCCCCTCCTATTAAAACCTATGTTCTAGCTCCTTTCAAATACTGGTTTTTTCTTTCTGTTTCTTCATTATGTAGCTCAGGAGTGGGGGAAGTGATGGGGAGTGTAATCATAGAGTTGTAAGGGACCCCAAAGGTCATCTAATCCAAACCCCTGAAA